AAGTCGATTGCTTGGGTACCTCTGTCCCATTCGTGTTTCTATCGTGAAGCAGTTGTATTTGCATGGCTGTATTTCAGTTTAAAGGGTGGGATATGGCGTGAATTTACAGGATACAGAGGAATAACATCTGAGTCCTCAGGAATGGCAACGCATGGGGGTTTTATGGGCGAAGCAGTATGTGTATGTACTGTTATGTCCATGGTACTGCTCATGTCTCTAGGCGACGGTTACCACTTTCCATCAGGTGGGCCGTCAGCTTGTTTGCCATTCTAAGTTGTATAAAAAAATATATAAATAAATAATTTTTATAGTATTTAAAATGGCAAACAAGCTGACAGACGGAATGAATGTATACGTATATAAAATTTCATAATGTTTGGTAAGCTGTTAGAGCATTAAGAGACAAAAGAGAATAGAATAGAACTGAAATAATATTTATCAAATAGACTTGTTTACAAGCTCTTTTAAATTGTAAATTTTTTATGATTGTGTTGTTGTTCGAGATGTTATTTGCTGAGAACCGACAAGAAACTCAATAGTTATTATTTTCAAATAAATATGTACAAAAACATTTACATTTACATGATTAGAATACGTGTATATAATTGCCTATATTATTACAATTATAGACAATTATGGAATTATCGACATGTAATTAGAGAAACAAACAAGTTTACTTTTATATCTATATAAGTAAAAATCAATTGCCAAATGGGTTTACATAGCTATTTATTTGTCATTTTTTTTGTTGTATTTCTTACTTTCAGCACAGTTTTAAATTAGATAAATAAGTAAGTAATAGACAATATAAATTGTTATATATATATATATATATATATATATATATATATATATATATATATATATATATATAACAATTTATTATATATAGTTTAGTTTTAGTTTATTTGTTAGCGTTTAATTGAAAAAAACGCTATAATGTAACGTTATATTTATAACATTTGTATACATAATTCAAAACTACCAGTCACCTATTCATCGTCCGTTTATGGTATAACAGAGTATACTGTGTCATCTATCATACCTTTTATCATCATTATATTCATGTCAGCCATTATCTGTCCACTGCTGGACATAAGCCTCCCCCATAGACGACCATAAGGCACTGTCACCTGCATCCACTAACTCCCTGCAATGCATTTGAGGTTGTCACTCCATCTCCATCATATGTAACAAATACTCACAATACAGAAGAATAACTAAATAAATTTAATAAACAGCGTCGTATGCAAATACTAGTAAATAACATTACGTGAACTCTAACAAGCGTTAGATGAGGTTATGGCTCAAGGACGCGACCTCAGCGCCAACCTTTCTTGGGTCCCATTAAAAATGAAAACCCTATTAGGAGCACGAAGTCGCGGCAAACTACTGGACCAATTTTCGTGAAACTTCACGTGATGACCCTTTGATATTGCGGCCCGAAGCCCTTCACGTGTGTACGGTATAACTTCATGATGTCTCAAGTAGTTTTCAGTTGGGTACACTTTTTTATTATTATGACTAGCTGCTTGCTCTGGCGTCGCACGGATAAACTAATGAAGAATTTTTTTTTGAACGATCTTTGTCATGGCAAATTCATAAAACATTGGATCTTGGTATTTTTTTATGAACTCTTGGGTTAAAGGCTCGTCCAGTACGGGGTCCAACGTACTCATGTTGTACTTTCCGTGTGTTAAGTAATAAATAAATAGATAAAGGAATAATAAATAAATAGATAAAAAAATAGATAAATAGCAACACTCTTATACTAATTATTGCGAGAACTTTCAGCGTAGTAACGTTTCAAACACGTATCCCATCGATTTTTTTTACAAATATAGCTTTCCTTCTAAAAATAATCATAATGGCTGGTTGTCAGTATGATTTACAAATTTGGAATCAGTAATTAGCTAATGTATGGTGTAAATATAATATTTTTCAATTATTTTAGATATAAGCTGATGATTCCAAATGTAATATTAAAATAAAAATAAAATAGATAAGTAAATAAATAATAAACACAACGAAAAAGGAATTAGCCAAATAATTGCAGCCGTTCTGGTGTGTTGAACTTACATACATTACAGACAATTGAGTTTTATTTATACCTATAATTTGATGAATTGAATTGAAGGAAATTCTAACGAAAAGTTAGAACTTCGTATCTTAAAAATATTTATAGACTTTAGGCAATTAGCAAATTCATATATATATATAAATGTTTTTTGACTTATATACGAGTATGTAATAGAATTTAATTCATACATAAGGCGTAGAGAAACGAGGGAATAAAATGACTCCACTAATTTAGTCAAGTTATTTTATTCCCTCGTGCACGGTATCGAAACTGAATCTACTGATAGATACTCGTCTAGGGAAGCAGGTGGAATTGAGTATAATATGTAAACATAAAAAAAACATTTCTAGAATAACTATCTTTTACCTACGACTTCGTCCGCGTGCCCGAGATATTTCTCTGTCCGGGTTAATTTCATTTTTTCATCTTTATCCCTAATAGTGCATGTATATATATGTATGTATATTTTATAATGATTGTTTTTTTAATGTACGATAATAAAATGCAATTGCGTCCGCGCTATCGGTATACTATGATGGGGCATCAGTAAGTGATGATAGGTTTAATAAAATCAGGTCAGTTGGCTCATCGTGATGAATTTGACAATTATTGTCAAATTCATCACGACTGTTTCCAGGAGGAACTGCGCTTGACAGCTATATTGTTAGCAATAGGAGTAACGTCCCCATTTCTAACAATCATTCTCCACCCCGCTAACTATTAGTTTAGCCGTTCTAGCTTCAAGAGCTAACAAACAAACTCATTTCTATATTTATGACATTAGCAAGGTCTTCTTTTTTGTGATCGGGTAAATAAAATAAAGTACAGTCGTAGCTGTATCGTGTAGACGTCTACGGCGTAGCAATACGTAGCTTTATAATAATAATCGTATTTGATATTTAAAACTAGAATGGGCCACCTTTTCATTTTTTTTATAACACAGGGGGCGGCAAACAAACATTCGGCCCACCTAAAAATAAGTGACTACCGCCGTCCAACTTTCCTTTCCCGTGACTAAAAGTACTTAATAGACAAGAAACGGGCAGCAGCGTCCCTCTTTAAAATCAGTAAAAGTCTAACTGCAGTGGCTAACCTGCCTTGCCAGGGGGAAAAGGGAAAAATCGTTAGCAATAGTGTTTGACAACCCCATCTCTATGCTAGCAATATGCCCTATTAGGTCGACCTCCATATGGTTCCCTCTGGAAATCATCGTGAACAATTTTTACTGAATTCATCACGATAGGCTAACTGATCTGCTTCATTCTCACCTATCATCTTTCACTGGTGCCCCGCCGGTGTATACCGATAGCGCGGGTGGGGTTACCATTCCATTATCACTCATAAAACCTGCCTTGCAACTATTAGAAAATACCCTCCCATTCGTAAACTACCATAGGGAACAGCCCCGTTCCTTATGATAGTATATACGAGCGCCCTATGTTCAGCTGTGGACAAGTAACAGCTAATATGATGATGAATGTATGAATGAATTAATGAAAAATCTTTATTGTTTTCATCAAAGAATGATACAGATTATAAAAATTAACAATATGTATACAAACAAAATGAATATTTAATTACATGAAAGCGAGTTAAAAAGGCAACAACGGTCGGCCTTATCGCTAAATAGCGATCGCTTCCAGGCAACCTTATGATGATGATATTTAAAAAGTCCAATAACTTATATAAAAAATATGTAGCAAGTTTATATTTAAGTTAATTGATGTTAGAAAAGTTTATTTTAACGCCTACATTCAATCTCACTCGTAGTAAAACGTAAATATAATGAATTTTTATTTAATTATAGAAGTTTTATAAAACGCCTACGCGTAAGTGCTATTATAGTACTCAGTGTCTACGACGTAGCAAAGCGTAGCAGTGTAATGAGTAATGAAACGGCTACGGCGTAGAATAAATTTATACTGAATTAATTGTAAATAATAGTAATTATTATTAATTACACACACATAATTACATAAATTACGTTCATAGTCTAGAACTTTAATGGATTTAGAGAAACAAACGGGATCGAACTTGTGACGTCATTTTCCAGTACGAGTATACTATATTGTTACGTAAATTGTCCTGAATATTTTTTTAATTAAATTCTAGAATTCTTCAGGGAATTATATGACCTGATGCCTTTTTCACCCTTTCACCATCATACCTCTCGATACTATAATAACCTTTCACCATCATACCTAGCAATACAATAGGTAATGCTATTAATTTAAGTAAATTAAATATTTTTTTGTGTTATTGATAAATTAGATAAAGGAGAGGATTCTCGTGCTTTTTAATGTATATAATGCGCAATAAATTTATATGCATTAATTAAAATTTATTTACGAATTACAATTGTCTTGTATTAATTAAACTTGGAATTTTCTCACAATACAAAATCGATGCAAAACAAATTTTAATTATAAGTAATAGAGTTTTAATCGGAACGCGACAATTTCTACACTTTATCAGCTTATGAACTGTGGAAAACAAACAGTATTATTCTGAAAACTTGTTTTTGTCACACGAATGTGTGTCTTACAATTAAGCCGTTAGGAATCATTATTAGGCCACGGTACATAACAATTACATCGTAATCGAATTCGAACATTTGTATACTCACACATATATAAACTATTTTACACACCTTGGTTGGGTGTGTGCGGTAAGAAAAATGACTCTTATCCAATTAACCTTAGGATGAGAATTGTCTGTAATAAACTTGAATTCTACAACCTATTGACTCGAGGGACAGTTTGCATTCGCTTTCCCAACATACAATCTTACAGTGTGAAAATTATTCGTGTCTCCGTTAAAAAATAGACTTTATAAATGGACAATTTGAAATGACAAAATTGAACGTAAAAGCCGTGTCTCTTGAGACGTTTCGCTTTTGAAGTAGTGGCCACGGCCGTGGGCCCAAAGGGGTGTATGGGGGTGTGGGGGGAGTATTGGGGCAGCTAAAGCCTTTCCAGGTCTACTACTACGTTAGTAACGTCGCGGCCGCCGAGCAGCACGCACGAATGGCGCGCAAGGGATCGCGCGTGCGCTTTTCGATTTTTTTTAAACCGTAATTCTACATTCCATCCACAATAGTTTTTCTTTTTTTTTTCGCTTGTCAAAACAATTTTGTGTGCCAGTGTTTTTTTTTTGTGTGTGCATGTGTGTTGGATTGAACGGAACGAAGTTTTATAGATACGAATAGAGGTACGAGGTAGCTAATGCCGGGTGAATGTATGACCTACTTGTTCATGATAACCTGGTATCTTGCAATCTAGAATTGACTGACAGCAAGAAGTTTATATCCACCTTCCAAAGAGGTTGAATATAAAGGGTTGTTGAGTTTAAAAATAAACTTGTATTGTCGGAAAGCGCGGGAAACCACATACGGGCGGGTTAAATGGCGGGAACAGAGTACAAGCATCAACAAAGTGCGCGCAACATTCTCTCTTATTAAAATTTCAAGTAGAATTTAAAATGGAAATTGTTCTGTAATCCTGCAAGCAAGAGAACCTCGCCGGGAAATTGGGAATTAAAATATTAAGCGAGTACTTGCAATAATAACTTTCGCATAAGAAGAACGGGTTATTAATTTTAAACTGCCGTGACCTTCGGAGCGCAGTGTTTAAATATTACTTCTTCAATCGACTTCTATTTTAAGCGACTTCAATAAGGAGATTCTCAATATTTCTTCAATCGACTTCAATTTTAAACGACTTCAATAAGTAGAAGAGTCTCAATTACACTGTACTTTTTTAGGTTACACGTTTTTGATGATTCTTTTATATTGTTAAAGTTACCGTTGGCCTCATACTAACATTATGGAGATTGAGAAAATTTTATTTATGGAACAAAATTTTAATTACTTATTTTATAATTTTTTTTCAATAAAAAGTTATGTAAGTACTTAGTAATTAACATAATTTGTTGCAACATATTAGGCAAATAATATTATTTATCATCATCATCATCATATCAGCAGTTGACTGTCCACTAGTGAACATAGGCCTCTTCCATAAGGGGGGTTTTGCCAGTAGTTGTCACGTTTGGCAGGAGGGTTGGCAATCGTAGTTAAGCTTATGTGATCTTTTATAAGGGATGCTGCTGTCCATTATATATTTCAAAATAAATTATTTCTTTCTTTCATTCCTCGTTCATTCAGTTTCCTTAGACCTCTTACGATACCCACGGGATAGGAAAGGGCATAGCAATAGAGTAGTTATATTATGATTTACTGATTTTTAAAGCCGCGGCAGAGAACAAATAAAAATCGTATCGTGAAGGAGGAAGAAGCGGAGTTATACAATCACGGATTTGGACAAAAACTACCAGAACTTATTCTAGTAGTTTCTGATCCAACATCCTTGTCTTAAGAAGGCTGCATGATCAAATAACCGTTGCTTGACCCATTTGGAGAAAGACGGGACGAATATAAAAAAAATACACTAAGTGTTACAATAAAAAAAAAAAAAACGCAGACGGCCAGATTTATTTGCATTATACAATATAGGAAATAAGCAAGAAAATTAATATAATAAAAATAAATATAATGATATAATTGTATAAGTACAGTAAGGCGGTCTTATTGCTGAGAGCAATATTTTCAAGACGACCTTAGAGTAACGGACTAGTTGTTGTGCTGGCCAGTTCGTCAGTTCGTCAGTACCTTATTAGTGTTCCTACGAATTAGTTCTTGTAAAAGCTAATTAGAAAAATAAGCAATAAATATATACGGGGAAGTCTAAAATTCACACTAGTAATGGAGAAGTTCATTGTGTAATCCCGGTATAGAATGGCCTATTCTTTTTTTTCCGTGGGTGTCGTAAGAGGCGACTAATGAGGGCAAGCGATGGGCAGCAGCGTCATTTTTAAAACGTGTCAGAAGTCTATCTACGGTTGTCAATCCATGCCAAGTGTGGTAAATACTGACAAAACCTCCTAAGGGGGAGGATTATGTTCAGCAGTGGATAGTTAAAGGCTGATAAGATGAACGGAGTTGCGAAGTAATAGAATGTCTTGATACGGTCATGTTATGCGCAGAAATGTAAGTTATATTTTAAAGAAAGTGTTAAGTATGAAAGTAAATGAATGTAAAGAAGGGGATGACCGAAGAAAAAGTGGATGGACTGTATGAAGGATGATATACATGAAAGAAAAGTGAACAAGGAAATGATAGTCGACAAGGATTTGTAGATGAAGGAAATATGCTGTGCTGACCCAAAAAAAAAATGGGAAAAGGCAAAGTAATGACTTGTTAGTGACAACTTGTATTTTTTTTTTATATAAAATAAAATAAATGTTAAACTTTTTTTTTAAACTATACCTACTTTTTATTCCAAAGGTCTCCGTTCCCACGCGATGTGAAAATAATTTTTATTAATTAATATCGAAATATCACATCGCCCAGCTAAATGCCATGATTTTATTTACGTTTTTAAAGTGTAAAATAATATACGTTCAAACAATTGTAACTTTATTCACGAGAATTAGAATAAAAATTTACGATTTGATTTACATATACGAAACAGTCTATCCGAATATAAAATTCTATTACTATCTGTTCAGCCAGTTAAGTGTAATTGAATGACAAACATCTTTACAAATATGAGTACTTATAATATTAGTGGGAACTTTTATCTTGGAGAAGCAACTATTGCAACTAACTTGCCCGCGCTTTTGTCCGTCTGAAATTTGTAATGTTATAAATTGCCCCATATCCATTCTAGAGTTTCAAATTACTCTACCAATCCTCTTTACGATAGTTTAACTGTGAAAAACTGTCCATTGAATAAGAAGCATGTTCCAATTCTTAATTTATTTTATTATTGCTGTCAAGTATGTTTTTGCAGAATAACAGAATAAACATACGGAAAAAAAAACTTCTAAAAATTCTTGTTTTAGTTCTTATAATTTTTATTATATCCGTTTTTCTTAAATATCTCTCATATTAAGATATCGTCTAGTTACAGTTTTATTGTTTAAGTAAGATAATATTAGTAGAATTTAAGATTTTGTAAAAATAATCATATAATAAGTTTTTTTTTATACAACTGATGTAAAGTGGTAACTGCCCTCTATAGACATGAGCAGTACCATGGACACAACACAGTATACTGTTTCGCCTATGATACCCCCCATGCGTTGCCATTCCTGAGGACTCAGGTGTTATTCCTCTGTACCCAGTAAGTGCTGCATAATTCCATTAACTATGATATCCTTTATGCTAGAACTTTACAATTATTTAAGAATATACAACAAAATAGTCCGTTTTAATTATTATAAGTATTACCCAATATAGTATTCTATTGTCAGTTCCAGTAATGTTTATTTAATTATCTGACAAAAATTGCATTAAAACACTTATTTATTTATTGTTTATTGTAAATAAAAAATTACAACATATAATATATATATATATATATATATATATATATATATATATATATATATATATATATATATAATAAAGATGTACAACAGGCGAGCTTAACTCTGTAAGAGTTCTCTTCCAGCAAACCCTGAGTGGAAAGGACTTATTTACGTATTTTTTTTCTCAGTGTGATAATTTCTTGCAATTGTTTGTATCTATTATAAGTTTACTACTATAATCTTTTGAAGGAAACAATCAACAGTATCTATATATTTATATATACATTTCATCAACGTGCATATATATGTATGTTTACAAAACATAACATCATAACATATCGGTCATTATACGAGTATATTCACTGCTGAACATAGGCCTCCCCCATAGACTGCCATAAGGAAGAGGCCACAAAACATGTAGTATATGTTAATAATGTATCTGATAATATCAGTCGTTGGTGTCCATTACTGAAAAGAAGTTTGCTCCTATTGGAAAATTCTGCCAGTGGTTTTTTTAATAGGTGATAATAGCGCAGGCGGGGTACCATACCCCGCCTGCGCTATCGGTATACGCGGGCTGGGCACCAGTAATCGATGATAGGTGATGGTGAAAGCAGGTCAGTTAGCCCGTCGTAACGAATTCCACTACGATTAACCACGATGGTTTCCAGGAGGAACCACGTGGAGGTCGAGCTGTCAGTTAGACCCCATTACTAACAATCCCTTTTCCCCCTCCCGCCAGTGGTTACCTATTAGCAACTACTGGCAGCTGCAGCTAGGCTTTGGTAACGTTTTAAGAAGGACGCTGCTACCTATCCCTCGAAAATTAAGTTTACGTAGTTGCTTCTTACTACACTCATAATAATGAAACTGGATTGCCTATTCTATACCGGAACCATACGACAATAATATGTATGTATATATATGTTTACACAAAGAAATTGGAATAGTCCGGAATAGTCAAGTACATTCATAGTTCAAGAAAGCAAAACTTTTTTCCATATCACCTACAGCCTATTCGCGCTATTTCAATTTCTTTTACACACTGTATATTTTTATTATACGAGACATTTTTACGATAAAAAGGAACGCCGAGATGTAGTAGAAACATAAATGTCGCATCTAAACGTCTACGAGACTTCGTAGCTATCAGCTACGGCGGCTACGGCCTACGGTGCTACGTAGCGGTAGTCTATATTTATATTACATTTATATCTATTCTACACGTAGATAGATCTATAATAAAGCGCGGTATACAATCGTTGTAATAAAGCAGTTGTACAGTTCCATATTTGTATTTATATTTGATGGGTTTTGTTTTATGGCTTTCTAAAAGGTCATAGAACCACAGAGACTATCCGAAATCTATGTTAAAAATATTACGAGTATAGTGTAATATTGAAGACTCAAACGATATCAAAATTTGACATACAGGGTTATGTCATGAGTGACAATGTTGGAACAACTACCAGAGCAATAGTAGATTGATGGTGTTGATTATTGTATTTATTGGAATTGCGACTTAACAATAATTGTAAAAAACATTTACAGTATAAATGTTTTTTACAATTATCATTGATGTTCTCACTTCAGTTGTACTTTTTTAAGTTTGTTACCTCATAACTCCGTCAGTTATAAACCAATTAAAAAAATATATTTTTTATCTGAAAGGATATAATCTAATATTAATCCCGTAAAAAT